TTTGCGTGTGCACTGCAGAATTCATACTGGTGAAAGGCCATTCGGATGCAGCCACTGCAATTCGAGCTTCGGGCGAAAACATTGTTTGAAAGAGCACATGCTAACTCATACTGGAGAAAAGCCATACGACTGCAAACAGTGCAGAAAAAAATTCACAAGAGTAGGAGATTTGCGTGTGCACTGCAGAATTCATACTGGTGAAAGGCCATTCGGATGCAGCCACTGCAATTCGAGATTCTGGCGAAAAGATCATTTGAAAGTGCACATACTAACTAATACTGGAGAAAAGCCATACGACTGCAAACGGTGCGGTAAAAAATTCACAAGAGCAGGAGACTTGCGTGTGCACTGCAGAATTCATACTGGTGAAAGGCCATTCGGATGCGGCCACTGCAATTCGAGCTTCGGGCGAAAACATTGTTTGAAAGAGCACATGCGAATTCATACTAGCGAAAAGTCCTACGGATGCAGTCACTGCAATTCGAGCTTCGAGCGAAAAGATTATTTGAAAGTGCACATGTTAACTCATACTGGCAAAAAGTCTTACGACTGCAAGCCTTACGGATGCAGTTACTGCAATTCCACATTCGGACGAAAAACTCGATTGAAGCAGCACATGCGAATTCATACTGGTGAGAAGCCGTACAAATGCCAATTTTGCGACAAGAGGTTGAGTGACCGAAGCAACTTAATTCGGCACCAGAAAATCCACTCTCGGAAGAACCAAATGTCCTGCGTTGTAAGAGCGATCATGCAAAATGCAGCTTCGGAGACAGTCTTGAATTCAGAAAAAACGTGATCGTCAAGACTACTAAAATCGCACGGCCGTCAGTGTCGATATCCTATTTTAATGATGCTATTTGTATGCCTCAAATTGCCGAGTGCTCTGTGCCGGTCTTTTCGATTCTAAGACATTTACTTCTTGCTGGTATCCACTGCCTGTGGTTGATTTTGTGCTTAACTTTTACGGAATCCTTCCGAGTGGTCTCTTCCTTTCCTGAGCGCGCCATTCACTAGTTCGCGATCTTCACTGTTTGTCAATAAGGTGATAAACATTCACTACCAATCGGGAAAATGTGATCAACAATTTTTGACGTATAAACAACGTATTTCAACCTTTGTGTGTTTTATGCAAGTAGTCAGCATAAATGAACGTTGAGGGAGAAAATGGTCATTTCAAAATCCACATCTTCTTGTTTATTTTGAAGCTCATTGCGAAATCGTCCTCATGCACTGAACCGCGTTTTCTTCTCTAAATATGCCACAATTTTCCCAAAAACTGAATTTAGCATCTTCGACGGTGCATTGCTTTTGCATTTCTTCCTCCTTCTCCTTACCTGTGTACCGCAAGCTTGACTTGGATATTGTAGAGATAACAACAATCTTATCTTTTAATATTATTTGCTAAATTCTTTGCTTTTCCCATGCTTTATTATATATCGAACAAAAAATTAATGACACGCACCAAGGCTACCGACACATCCACATGTTCCTGGTTGGTTTCATGAAGCAATCATATTGTTGGCGTTTAACATTATGCTGGAAATGCTCTTGTTTGTCTTTTTTTATGGACAGAGAGTTATGTCTAGAAGGCTCTTCGGTCTTTATAATCATCGTGAGGCGGGGATGTCGACAGTTTTGCAACCTAAATTTTGTTGCCAAACCTATTATGCGAGACGTAGACGCTCGTAAATTTCGATGCATTACTTGTGGTACACACAAAATATGCCAGCATTCTAGTAAAATTACAGTTTTATTGCCAAAAAAAAGTATAACAACAGTGTTGCAATATGAACATTTGATAAGAACATACGTAGAGAATTCTGTGTCCAAAAGTTCGTTTTTTTTCCGCTTTTTTTCACGGTATGAACAGTAAATCTGTCCACATCCTAGGTTTACATGACACACTTTTTCGACTTGGAACTTGCTTTGCCCATTAGAGCAGCGTGATAGAAATCTTTTGGTCCCACGTGGCCAGGGAGCATTCTTGTGGAATTTCAGATTCCAGTCCCTTTTTTTCCCCGCCTTTTTTTATGATTTTGTTACAAGCATATTTACCTGTGATCTAGGAATACGCAAACATTGATTTCAGATCAAGGAAGTCAAACAGAGAGCTGTAACACTGTAAAATTTGTTCCTCCTTCGTCAAATAAGGTATTTCGATCCATTAGCACTGCTCTTAATAATTATAAAAAAAAGCTATGCGCCATGTCCGATAACAACTCCAAAATCAAAATTACACCAAATTATTCGAAACACTCATACCGGAAGAATAATGGGTTTTACTGCGCCACAAACCGGATGGGATGGGAAAAAGGAGCATTCTGATAGCAAATCACAGTTATCAGTGCTATAATCGCACGTTATCAAATTTTATAATCAGTTAATGCAACATAACAACATGTGAACATGAAACAGTGAAATCAGTGTTACAGTTTATTCGTTTCTTTCTTGTGCCAGAGAGCCCAAAACACCAGCAGGTACTGCTCTCGTCTCGACAACTGAAAAGGAAAAAAATGCAAAAATACGAAAAATATTGCAAAACATACTGATAATAGGGGAGAAACTCATGAAAATCCGTGAAAATTTGCCTCGACTTGTTTGCTGAATCTAATTTTCGACGCAAGTATCTTTTCTGTGTTAATAATTATCTGAATGCTAGCCACCAGCCCCTTATTTGCGATAAGGGTGAATTGGACAAGTTAGCAATAGCAGCAGAAAGGAAGAAACAGACCTTGAACTAACAGTCATCAAAGTTGTTTCTGGTGAGACTATGATCTGCACTCTGAAGCATTAACAAATGGCTAGGTATGGGAATCAGTCCGGGGCAGATTCCTAGCAAACTTACCGAAAAAAAAAACGAAGAAACTACAAAATAAATCAATAGTTTTCGAACAAGAAATCGAAGTCCTCATTATCTTGCGCAACAAAAAATTTATTTCAAGAAATTTTATTTTAAAGTTTTAAGAAATTTTATTTTCTTTAAAGAAATTCTAAAAAGTCCTTACCATCTTCATTTTCCTCGTCATCGCTTCCCTCACCAATATCAATTTCTTCCGGATTTTCCGTGACACTCGATTCGACTGCTTGAGCTGTTGTTGCTCCTCGAACAAATCGGATTGCTGCACCACTCAAGGGTGCCTTTACAGCGCCTGTTTCTTCCTCAGCGATTTTCTGGGCTCGCGCTTCAAGCATTGCCATGCTGTCCGCTGCTGTGCTAGCTATAAGTGTGACACATACAAAAATTGCAATGATTTAAATTACAACAATGCCAGTACCGCTCAGAGAGATACGTATCTCATGTTAATGATGTCATCGCGATCGGGGGCCAATATACGAGCATGCTATCCCCCCCACTTGCCCGGCCCCAAAAATCGCTACCGTTCATCACCAGCAGAGGATGCGATGAAACAATCATCCCATGACACGATGGGGCGGCTGCTGTCGCACGATACAAGCTGTAGCTCCGCCCCACTGCTGCCCGATGGTTACACGAGCGATGGGGCTATACAGCACAAAAATCTTCTGCGCGTCACTTGAACTCGGTGCGATGATGTCTCACCAGTACAAGTAATCTGCGGCAAATGCTTGATACTTGTTTAAATGGGCGGACACCGATGGGACGTGTGCGCTACTCAAGCATTACACCGGCAACACTGGATTTTTACTTGGATAAGCTGCCGCTACATGAGCTTTGATGGCGTGCTACCTGTAATCCGATCTTTTCGTGCCTCCTTCACAAGCACCCTCTGTGAAGCAAAAGCATTCGGAAGTAACGCGAATGCAAGTGTGATCCAAAAACAATTACCCTTTCGTAATGCTGTCAATTATTCCCTCGCTGAGATTGTTTAAAAGCAAACTGACGATAGTCTTAATTTCCTAACACATGCCGGCTACCACCTCATGCCTACTAAAACAAAAGGTTAAAAAAAAGACATACGCTCAGGTATAATAGTTCCTGTTGCAGTACCAGCCGCTGCTGACAACATTTGCGCGCTCATTACATTAACACTTGTGTTGTACGTCGCCTGTACAGATCGTTTTATGCGTAGCATCTCACGGACTGTGTCCTCGTTACCGCTTTGGATTTCGAATTCTCTCCATATCTCCCAGAAGCGTCCGTGAACCTAAAAATGATGAGCAGAACGAAATAGGGCTTGTTCTGATGCAACTCTCTGATCAAAACTCATCATGAAATGCTATGTGCCAATCAACTTTTGATAAGACGGTTGCATTACTACTAAATGGCCAAATGCTGCCGAATCTCATCTTCTTCTTTCGATAGGGAAAAACTGGCTATATCAGATTCCCGTAAACACTATCGTGACCCAACAGCTCAGGCGAAAGCGTCCCTCTCAATGCACTTTTAACTATCACCTTTAAGCACAAGGTAAATTCGTTTGAGGCACATCGATTATTTTCAGAAGCGTTAAGATACCCCCCCCCCC